CCCAAGAGTATATCTCGGCCTCATAGCTAGAACCAAGCACAAAAGTCGAACGAGTAGACCTCCACGAGACAAGATCAGAGTCGAGACTGAAGAGTAACCATGTGACGACCGCTGAGTTGCCTGGGCGTCGGCCCAAGAAGCGTCGGAGTGTCCTATGAGCCCCGTCCTCCAAGCACGAGCCCCATGCCTGATGTACTACCCAAGTAACGCAGTACCCTCTGCGCAGCTATCCAGTGCTCCTTCATGTGTCTCAAGGATGATGAGAAGGTACGCGAGGTCAGGTCGTGTTCACGTCATCAGGTACATGAGGCAGCCCACAAGCTCTGGATACGGACCACTCGGCTCTACGGACTCGTCCGAAGGTGGAGCTGAGAGCGATTGGGTCGTAGGCAGAAGAGTGTGTTGTGGCGAGGAGAACTGAAAGCCGAAGCGCTGAAGGACCTGGTGCACCATGTGTGACTGAATCAGGGTGATGGTGCGCTGTGCTCTATCCCGGGTGATCTGCAAGCCAAGGCAGCTACGTAGCTCACCCAGGTCAGTGCAAGTGTGTCTCTTCTGCAGCTCCGACTTCACAAGGGTCAGCGCCTCAGTGTCGGTAGTAGCAAAGACTTAGTCGTCGACGTACACGAGGATGTACAACGACGGCAGAGAAGGGTCGGTGTGCAGAAACAGCGACACGTCAGCAGTCGAAGGAGCAAACCCTAGAGTGGCAAGTGTCGTCCTCAGTGTGTCGTGCCACTCGCGGGGCGCCTGGCGGAGACCGTAGATTGGCCGCCGGAGGCTCCACTGGGTACCCTCAGGAAACGACCCAGTAAAGCCAGGTGGGCGGCGTAGCCAGATCTCCTCGTGCAGGTGGGCGGCGTAGCCAGAAAGCTGTGCTGAAGTGAAGAGCGTGAAGCTCGTAGTCACGCTGAGCAACAACGTGCAGCAACACCCGAAGAGCGGTCATCTTTGGGGTGGGGGAGAAGGTCTGGAAGAAGTCGACCTCCTGTCGCTGACTGAAGCCTCGAGCAACGTAACGCGCCTTGAAGGCAGCCGGAGAATTTGACGGCCGCTTCACTCTGAAAATCCACATGCCATCGACTATGTTCGCCTCAGGAGGGGAACCTCATCGAGGTGTCTGTGGACTTCCAGGAAGACATCTCTACGTCCATGGATATCTGCCACTGAGCGGAGTACTCACTCGTGATCGCCTCAGCGTAAGAGCGTGGGGTAGGGATGTCTAGTGCATCCGGGTCTTTCTCAGGGCACAACAGCATGGACGCGAGATGAGGTAAAACGGCCGCGAGGCACTCAAGCTCAAACTGCCTGTCCTCAAGGATGTCACTGCCAAGGGCAAGCTCACCCCCGACGGACGGAGGATAGCCAGACTCAGACTCAGTAACAAGACTCGCGAAGTAGTCGAGACGACAGGTAGCAGCCAAAAAGCGCGTGACAGTAGGACTAGCACCACGTGCAAGGTCGGACTCGGTGTTAGGAACGTCAAGAAGAGAGGACGCTAGAGGAGACGGCGGATCAATATGGTGCGGAATAGAGGAAGGACGAAGTGCCATATTGTGCGTGCCGGGGACAGGTGGAGGACGAGGACGACGAGCACAACTAACAGTATGAACAGATGAGGCAGGACGAGACTCAGGCTCACGAAGCTCTGCCAGGGAGCTTGTCTGCGCAGGGTACGGAGAAGGAGCAGGCAGTGGAGAGTGAGGCAGTAACTGTGGCTGTGGAGAGTTAGGCGGAGGATACAAGAAAGGCGGAGTAAGGCCAGTGGAAGACGGAAGACTAAGAACCTGACAAAGTGCCGAGTCAGGCGGCGGCAGGGACGACTGCGGCTGCGGGTAGAAAAACGGTCGTCGCGACGCAGTACTCACAGTACCAGAGCCCCCAGCTCTAGCACCTCCAGCTCCAAGACCTCCAGCACCTCTAGTTCTAGCGCCTCCAGCACCAGTACCTCCAGAACCTCCAGCTCCAGCACCTCTAGCACCAGTAGCTATAGTACCTCAGTACCTCCAGCTTCAGCACCTCTAGCACCAGTAGCTCCAGTACCTCCAGCACCAGCAGCTCCAGTACCTCCAGCACCTCCAGCTCTAGCATTATGAGAACCTCCAGCTCCAATAGTACCAGCACGTCCAGCTCCGCCACCGGGGCTGCCCCACTGGACAGCCCGCTCGCGAAGCCGCTCCAGCGAGAGAGTCTCCTTCCGACGTGCGCCAATACCTCCAGCACTAGCGCCTCCAGTTCCAGTGCCTCTAGCACCTCCAATTCCAGTACCACCAGCACCAGCACCTACAGCTCCAGTAGCTCCAGCTCCAGCACGTCCAGCTCTGCCTCCGGAGCTGCCCCACCGGACAGCCCACTCACAAAGCCGCTCTGGCGAGAGAGTTTCCTGCTGACATGCACCAATACCTCCAGCATTAGCGCCTCCAGCACCAATACCTCCAGCACCGCCAACTCCAGTAACACCAACACTAGCACCACCATCTCCAGTACCTCCAGCACCTCCTGTATCCGTAGGACACTCAGCACCCCTAGAGCCAGCACCCCCAGAGTCCGCACCCCCAGTGTCACCACCTCCTATAGCACCAGCGTCTACAGCGACGGGCTGCAGAGGCGGTGAAGACAGTCGAGGCGGAAGCCCAGGAGGGGTCGGCAAACATGGTGAGCGGCGAGGAGCCACGATGTCGGCAACAATTGGGTCACCCCCCTCAGCTGGGCCAGAGGTGTCGGAGGACCAAGGACACACCTGAGGGGGTAGGACCGTGCGGGTGGAGGGGGGCTACCGGAGGGGGGGGGGGGGGGTCAGGTACCAGGAAGAGAGGCGGAAGGGGCACGTGGGAACTGCGGTGGGGGTGGAGACGGTAGAAGCCGACAGACTCGTCAAAGGTGACGTCCTGGGAGGAGAGGACACGATGAGAACCCGGGTGGTAAAACTTCTAGGGTGGGGCGTCGGTAAGGAAGCCAAGGAAGACGCAGCGAAGAGTGCGAGTAGAGAGCTTGCCCGCGGGAGGATTGCAGACAAGAGCAAGGGAACCCCAGACCCGAAACGCCGACGCATCACCAACCTCTCCCGTCCACCACAGAGTAGGCCAGGTCTCCGAGTGGGAGACACGGGGCCAGAGTTTGAGTTGTTTAGCGTCGTATCGGACCGCAAACGACCACAAAAACAGGGGAGCAGCCGCATAGACGATGGAGGTGCGAGCAACCTCCATAACCAAGCCAATGCGACGCTCTGCAATCCCATTCTGCTGCGGAGAGGCTGGAAGCATGAACGATTGCGCGATGCCCTCAGCACCACAGATGTCCTCGAGGAGGCGGGAGCAAAACTCACCACATCGGTCAGAGTGCAGCCGTAGGACTGGGAGGTCCTGCCGCAACCGAGCGCTAAGCTGGCGACGGGCAGCACGGATCCAGCGAATCAACACACTTCGGACATCCGCCTTGCTCTGCAAAGGGAAGACCGTGGTGTAGCGCGTGTAGTCGTCAACAACCAGCAAAAAAGTTACGCTCTCCGCCATGTCCAGTGATGCGGGCTGGACCCCACACGTCCATATGGAGGGTATGCAGAGGAGTTGTGGTCGAAGGAAACGAGGAGGAGTGAGGAGTGGCGCGTCGCCGCCCCTCGATGCAGGGAAGGCACGGCGGCGCAAGCGACCTCGGAAGCGGGGGTTAGGGACCTGGGGAGGCAAGACACAAGAAGACAGGAGTGCATGCCATGCAGGCGTGGCAAGGAGGGGTGACCAAGACGGTGGTGCCAGAAGAGAGTTTGGTGCGTGAGGAGACGACACGAACAAGACGCAACTACCTCAACCGACGAGCTACCTGACCTGACTCAGCCACCTGTGCAGACTCAGTGGTCAGTGTGTACAAACCAGACACGGGCCTCCGAGTGAATGTGGCGAGGTGCTCGCCAGTGCGTGAGTCTGTACAGATCACCACGAGCTCTCCCCCAGGCTGGGTAACAGTGACCAACTGGTCTTGTAGGACAGCTGTAGCCACCAAGTTCTTAGCGAACAAGGGGAGGTGGAAAATTGTAAGGGAACCGGAGGGGGCTGCCGGACACAGGAGAATAGTGGAGCTACATGCAACAACTAGGCCACTAGAGGGGTCGGCCAGAGTGACAGAGACAGGGGCTGCGAGCGGTGTGACTGTGGTGCAGTCGTGGAAGAAGAAGCGAGAGGCGCCTGAGTCGAGAAGGAAAGTGTGCAAGGCCTTCTCAGGCTCTGCACCTAAACTAGTAGCCTCTACACCACAAGGTGCCTTTACACCCCCAGCACTAGTACCCCAAGCTCCGCCACCGGGGCTGCCCACGGAACAGCCCACTCACGAAGCTGCTGCGGCAAGAGGGTCTCCGGCGGATGCTGCTGCTGCCGCTGTCCATCCCCAGGACCTCAGCGGCCACCAGCTGCACCACTAGCAGGAGTACATGTACGAACAGGTACCTACACTCGCCGCCTCGACCAGCTGCTGTACCTCCCCTAACAACGGACGGCTCTGCCGCAGTGGCCGGGTGGCAGGAGAGAGTGAGGAGTAGTGCCTAACCACAGCGTCGTAGAGAGTGTGGGCCGATGTCAGCTGACAAAAGTGGGTCCTATGGTCGACCGGCAGGTTAGCGCGAACAGCAAGCTCTGCAACAGCGTCGCGCCCCGTCCACTGTGTGCAGGCAATGCAGTCCACTGTGTGCAGGCAACGCAGTCCGCACGGTCTCGCCAGCGCTAGCAGCAGGCTCAGCGGGAGTCGTTGGGGCCTAAAAGGACCCCGACGTGTGCTCGAGAAGGGAGACACCATCTCGAAGGAAACGTTGGAAATACCGGTGTAGGCCAGCGAGCCAGAACTCGAACATGAAAGGGCACCCGTCGGCGACAACCGCTAAGACAGTGAGACTGGCCATGGCAGGCAGTGGCAGTAGTAGCAGCGGCGGAAGGGTGGCTGGGAAGAGCGCGAGTAACTAGGTGGGCTAGCTCGGGCACTCGCGAAGCAGAGCAGGGGTGCGCTGAGGCGCTAGCATGGCAGGGCGTGGGAGGCTCTAGCGGCACAGGGAGGGCACGCGCGGCCGGGCAGGCGTGCGTGGTCAGCACGTGCGGGATAGGGCAGGTGCGTGTACAGGGCAGGGCAGGCGCGCTTGCGGGCAGGGCAAGGCAGGCACACGCAGGCAGGCGCGCGCAGGTAGCGCGTGCGGGGCAGGGCAGGGAGCACGGGGCAAGGCACACGCGCGCGGGCAGGGCGGGCTACAAGGGCAGGGCGCATGCGCACTGGCAGGGTAGGGCAGCTGCACGTGCAAGGCAGCAGCGCGGGGCAGGGGGCACGCGCACGGGCAAGGCGCTTACGGGGCAGGGCACGAGTCGCTAGGCAGCAGGGCGCGCTGGACGCTGGGCAGCAAGGCGCGCTGGGCAGCAGGGCACGCTGGCGTGCTGGGCAGCAGGGCGCGCTGGCGCGCTGGGCAGCAGGGCGTGCTGGCGCGCTGGGCAGCAGGGCGCGCTGGTGCGCTGAGCAGCAGGGCGCGCTGGCGCACTGGGCAGCAGGGCGCACTGGCGCGCTAGGAAGCGGGGCGCGCTGGGGTGCTGGGAAGCGGGGCGCACTGGCGCGCTGGGCAGCGAGGCGTGCTGGCGCGCTAGGAAGCGGGGCGCGCTGGCGCGTTAGGCAGCGGGGCGCGCTGGCGCACTGGGCAGTAGGGCACGCTGGCGCGCTGGGAAGCGGGGCGCACTGGCGCGCTAGGCAGTGGGGCGCGCTGGCGCGCTAGGAAGTGGGGCGCGCTGGCGCGTTGGGCAGCGGGGCGCGCTGGGCAGCAGGGCGCGCTGGCGCGCTGGGCAGCGGGGCGCGCTGGCAAGCTGGGCAGCGGGGCGCGCTGGCGCGCTAGGAAGTGGGGCGCGCTGGCGCGTTGGGCAGCGGGGCGCGCTGGGCAGCGGGGCGCGCTGGCAAGCTGGGCAGCGGGGCGCGCTGGCGCGCTAGGCAGCAGGGCGCGCTGGCGCGGTGGGCAGTAGAGCGCACTGGCACGCTGGGCAGCAGGGCGCACTGGCACACGGGGCAGCAAGGCGCGCGAGGTGTGCGGGGGCGTATCCGGACAGGGCAGAACGAATGGTGGGCCCAAAAAAAAAACCGGTCTTACAGAGCGAACCGCTCTGAAACCAAGTCAGAATCAACGAGCAGGAATGATTGACTAGCTGACCCCTCGTCAACGCGTCGTACCTCTCGGCTGCCCGTACGATGTCGCGGTAGCTACTATAGTTCTCTGCGATAACCTGCCGGCGAATCTCCATTTTTAACCCTTCGGTGTACGCCTGGATTTTCTCGCCCTCGGTCAGGTCGGTGATTCGGTTGAACAGCTCCATCTTCTGCGTGTACAGTGCCACACTCGCGAGTTGCTTGTGTCGGTGAATCTGCTGCCGCGCCATGTACACTAAATTGATTGGTTCGAAGCGTTCCATGCGATCCTCCCGAAACTGCATCAACGTTTTCTCCCCGCGGGCCACTTCAGTGTAATAAATCCACTCGAGTGCTGGTCCTCTCAACAGTGTTGCTGCGAGCCGAATTCCTGTTGCATCGTGTGTCGGGGTCGAACAGCCAATGGCCTCGAAATAAATTTCGAGGGTCGCCATGAATCGTCGAACGTCAGATCCTTTCGCGCTATAATCGAACGCTTCGGGGAGCCTCGGGCGAGCTGCTTCGAGGTTCGGCGAAGGTGGTGCCATCGGTCCGTGAAATGTCGGTGTCGCTGCCGCTGCCGCTGCTGCTGCTGTCGCTGCTACGTTCGCTGTTGCGGTGGCGGCTGCGGATTGGTTTGTCATAAGGGCCTTGTGAAAATGAAGAACAAGGATGGTTGAACTATGAATGAAGTGAGTACATATAGGAAACCCTAATTGGGTTGTACCCCCTATGGGATACCCCACTATAGCCTACACAACAGCATAAGCTATATAATGTTCTGACACACCCCCATAGGCAAAGTGGGGGAGAACAAGGGGTCACAAGACCAGTCAAGCAAAGCAGAGCAAGCTCAGGGTGGATCACAAAGTCACCACACAGTCCGAGCACAACGACAAGGCCAAAAGGCCAGTTCACATGCAGGAGTACACATATATATATAGAGCTAGACAAGCAAGAGCAGGTATATATATGTAACAGTACAAGCAAGGTCAAGAAGAGAGCAAGTGAGGCAAGACAGGTACAAGACCCAGCTGGGTGCAGAAGCGCTGATGGTCACAAGGCGCAAGTGCCTTGGTGAACACATCAGCAGTGTTGGCCTCAGAGGCCACGTAAGCAAGTCGCAACTGACCACGCTGCTGCAGCTCACGAGCAAGAAAGTAACGGAGAGCAATGTGCTTCGTTCTGTGCTCCAAGCGCTGCTCTCGACACAAGGCCAGCATGGCTTTGTTGTCTACGTACAGCACTGGAGGAGAACGAGGCGGCTCTCCAAGGTCAGTCAGCAGGTAGGTGAGCCAGCGAAGCTCCTGTGCAGCCATGGCCCCGGCGTAGATCTCAGCCTCACAACTGGAGCTGAGAACAGAGGACGAGCGAGTAGCCCGCCACGAGACAGAGCCGGAACCAAGACTGAAGGTGTAACCCTGCGACGACCGCTGTGTAGCCTGGTCGTCTGCCCAAGAAGCGTCCGCGTGCCCAGTGAGGACCACTGGACTCCGCCCTCCAAGCACTAGCCCCATGCCCGACGTACTGCACAAGTAGCGCAACACCCTCTTAGCTGCAGCCATGTGCTCTGGTCGGTGTCTCCCAGGAGCAACATAGCGTGCGAGAATGCTAAGAGGGTATGCAAGGTCAGGTCGTGTACAGGTCATCAGGTACATGAGGCAGCCAACAAGCTCTGGGTACGGGCCACTCGACTCTACGGACTCATCCGAAGGCAGAGCTGAGAGCGAGTGGCGAGTAGACAGAGGAGTGGCCTGAGGCGAGGAGTACGTGAAGCCGAAGCGCTGAAGGACCTGCTGCACCATGTGTGACTGAGTCAAGGTAATGGTGCGGCGTGCTCTGTCCCGAGTGATCTGCAAGCCAAGGTAGCTGCGCAGTTCACCCAGGTCTGTGCACGTGTGTCTCTTCTGCAGCTCGGACTTCACGTAGGCTAGTCCAGCAGTGTCAGCTGTGGCAAAGACCAAGTCGTCGACGTACACGAGGACGTAGAACGGCGGCAAAGAAGTGTCGGTGCGCAGAAACAACGACGGGTCAGCAGTAGAGGGAGCAAACCCAAGAGCCGCAAGCGTAGTCCTTAGTGTGTCGTGCCACTCACGCGGTGCCTGGCGGAGACCGTAGACTGGCCGTCGGAGGCTCCACTGGGTGCCAGGAGGAAAAGTCCCAGTGAAGCCAGGTGGACGGCGCAGCCAGATCTCCTCGTGCAGGCTACCCTGCAAGAAAGCAGTACTGAAGTCAAGAGAGTGGAGCTCATAGTCGCGCTGAGCGGCTATGTGTAGCAGCACCCGAAGAGTGGTCATCTTCGGGGTGGGAGAGAAGGTCTGAAAGTAGTCAACTCCCTGCCGCTGACTGAAGCCACGAGCGACGTACCGCGCCTTGAAGACAGGTGGAGAGCCCGGCGGCCGCTTCACCCTGAAGATCCACATGCCACTGACGATGTTCGCCCCAGGAGGGGGAACCGCGTCAACGTAGGTGCCTGTGGACTTCCAGGACGCCAATTTTGCATCCATAGCTGCCTGCCACTGAGAGGAGTAGGGACCCTCTACGGCCTCCGCGTAAGAGCGCGGAGTCGGGATGTCTAGTGCATCCGGGTCTCCCTCAGGGGCAAGTAGTACGGACGCGAGATGAGGTGAAGCAGCAGCCAGACACCGGAACTCCTCCTGCCTGTCCTCAAGGACGTCCGTGCCAAGAGCACACTCACCCAGACAGACGCAGACTCAGCAACAAGACCGGCAGCGTAGTCTAGACGACAGCGAGCAGCAAAGTCGACGAGCTCAGCAACAAGCGCAGACGCAGCAGTGGACTCAAAAGAGGGGTCAGTGACGACAGTAGCAAGGAGACGTGTGACAGCAGGACTGGCAGCACGAAGAGAGTCCGACTCCGGGTCAGGAAGAGCAGGAAGAGAGGACTCAGGAGGAGAAGGCAAAGGGGCACGCAGAGGAGCAGTGGACGGACGCAGAGACATCCGGTGCGTGCCAGGGACAGGAGGAGGACGCTGACGCGAACCACGAGCACTAGTGCGAGCAGCACGGACAGGCGACGCAGGGCGAGACGCAGGCTCACGACGCTCAGCAAGACCTCCAGTAGGACCAGTGTAGGGAGAAGGAGCGGGCAGTGGGGAGGCCGGCCGTAACTGTAACTGTGACAGGACAGGCTGTGGACACTCTAAGGGAGGAGGAGGACCAGTAGAAGGCGGGAGACCAAGAACCTGCTGAAGGAGCGGAACGAAGTACGGTCTAGGCCGCGCGGCGACTCCAGACACAGCAGGGACAGCACCAGTACCCCCAGCGGCAGCACCAGCGCCAGCAGCACCTCCAGCTCCAGGACCTCCAGCAGCACCAGTAGCACCCCCAGCAGGACCGCCTCCAGGACCGAAAGCAGTAGCCTCAGCGTCAACGCCCTCAGCAGCTCCAGCTCCAGTACCTCCGGGACCCGCGGCACCAGCACCCTCAGTAGCCGAAGAACCTCCAGCTCCAGCAGCACGCCTCCAGCGCCGGGCAAACCACTCGCGCAGCTCCTGTGGAGAGAGGGGCTCCCGCCGAGGCGAAGCACCCGGAGAACCGCCAGGTCCCGCACCGCCAGACGCCACAAGGGGAGGTCCAGTGGCCGCAGGCTCCGCAGCACCAGGCTCAGCACCTCCAGACGCAGCACCCCCTGGCTCAGCACCCCCAGTAGCAGCACCCCACGGCTCAGCACCCCCAGACTCCGCACCCCCAGGCTCAGTACCCCCCGTCGCAGCACCCCCAGGCTCAGCACTCCCAGACTCCGCACCCCAAGGCTCAGCACCCCCAGTCGCAGTACCCCCAGGCTCAGCACCCCCAGACTCAGCACCCCCAGGCTCAGCACCCGCAGCAGGACCAGAGTCACCAGCAACCTCGACCGGCTCGACTGCGTCTACCTGGGACACACCTGAAGGGGCAGGACCCTGAGGGGGTAGGGGGTCTACCGGGGGGGGACCTGGCACAAGGAAGTGCGGTGGCGGGGGGAGGGAAGGAGTGCGGTAGGGGAAGAGGCGGTAGAAGGGGACTGACTCGTCGAACGTGACGTCCTGGGAGGACAGAACACGACGAGAGGAGGGGTGGTAGAACTGCCACCCTGGAGCGTCAGGGGGGAAGCCGAGGAAGACACAGGGAGCAGCACGAGGGGACAGCTTGTCCGCAGACAAGTCGCGGACAAACGCCCGAGATCCCCAGACACGGAACGCAGACGCATCGCCGACCTTCCCCGTCCACAGCAGAGCTGGGGAGGTCTCCGGCCGGGAGACCCTGGGGTGAAGGTTGATCTGATGCGCCGCGTACCGAACCGCAAACGGCCACAGAAAATGGGGGGCAGCCGCATGCATCATGGACGTACGAGCGACGTCCATGACCATGCCAATGCGGCGCTCAGCAATCCCATTTTGCTGTGGAGAGTCCGGAAGCGTAAAGGTCTGGCGGATGCCTCGTGCACGACAGTAGGCTCGCAGAAGGCCAGAGGAGAACTCTCCACCTCGGTCAGAGTGCAGACGCAGAACAGGAAAGTCCGAGCCGAAGCTCCTCCTGAGCTGGAGACGAGCTGCGCGGATCCAGTCGATCAACACCTCAGTGACCTCACCCTTGCTGC